CTGTGGCTGAAACCTGGAGCAGGTTTGCTGGGTGATATTTTTAGTACTGTCGTGTCCCAAATAGCTGAGCTTCCATTTCCTGTAAGTAGTCGTCTTTTACACATCTGCATGGGATCCTAGGAAAAAAGCATAGTCATTGTGACAGGACTCCCAGACTAGAGTTATTGTTGGTATCCTGGCTTCTGCTGGCATTCCTGTAACAACAGCTACACCTTCATCTATGGCAAAAGGGGTGGTTGGTATCTGTGGTGCTTTGAATGACAAATGCCCCCCATAGGCTCGGGTGTCTGAATACAGTCCCAGGCTGGTAGTAGATGGGGGGGGGCTGCAACCTCGCTGGAGGAAGGACAACACTGGAAATGGGCTCCGAGAGTTTACAGCCTTTGCCCTCTTCCTCTCCACACTCTCTGCTGCCTGTGCAGATGAAATGTCAGCAGCCAGCATCCTGCTCATGCCACCATCCCCTTCCCAGCCGTAAGGACTCTGGAGCCGTAAGCTAAAATAAAACCTTTCTTCTTTAACTTACTTTTGGTCATGGTGTTTTATCACAGCAACAGAAAATGAGCTAACACAGTCTCCATCTCACCCATCGAGCGAGGAAGGAGGATGAGGATGAGGAGGAAACTGAGGCTCTGTAAGTTATCAAAATCCACCATCATGCTTTCTTCCTGGGAATGCGCAGCTTGCCTCCTTCGTGACTGAGAGTAACCCTGCTACTAGCCATTTGGATAATGTATTTTCTCTAGTAGAGAGATATCTACTGGCTTTCTGGTGAGAGGAAACCATGAAGGCCACTTCCAGGCCTGATCTTAATCACCTCATGTGTCACCATGTTCTCATCTTCTCTAGCTGAAATGGCAACAGCCCCTAGAAGTAACCTGGTGAAGATGGCAGAGCCCCTGCCAATCTGAATCTCTTGTATGGTCATGATGGGAAGGGCTGTCCCATCTCCTCCCTAGCCCTCCCGGGCTGATACAAGAAGAGAGTCCCGTCCAAGCTTTCAGCTCCCCATCCCACATTTCAGAGTTTGGAACTGGTTTCCAGGCAACTGGTAACACCTAAGGTGTGCGGTAAAGTTGGACAGATGTTGTATTAGGGCTGCTCCATTCTTGACAGCTGCTTTCTGTGATCTGGAGACACATCTAAAAGTTGGCTTCAATATAGAATATGAATCATATTCTCATGACACATTCTCAGGAAGGTTATAGATTTACTACATAGTGTTATATAAATACTTTTATGTGGATGAGAAATGGGTGGATGGATGGATGAATGAGAGATGGTTTGATAAATAGATTAATGGGTGTGTAGGTGGATGGTTGGATGAATGGACTGATAAGATGGGTAGGAGGGTAGATGGATGGATGGATGATGGATGATGGATGGATGGATGGATAGTTTGGTAAATAAATTAATGGGGGTGTAGGTGGATGATTGGATGAATGATTTGATAGGTGGGAAGATGGCTGAATAGGTGGATGAATTGATGGATTGATGGATGGATAGATCTGTGAACAGACAAAAGGAAGGCTTAGTTGACAAATAAGTGACTGGACAGACAGACGGAAAATCACTTCTACTACAGAGCAAGGGAAGGACAGGATATTTAAATAGAATCACAAGACTGTAGTCAAATGCCGGGTGGTGGTGACTCACACCTTTAATGCCAGAACTTGGGAGGCAGAGGCAGGTAGATTTCTGTAAGTTCGAGACCAGCCTGGTCTACAAGAGCTAGTTCCAGGACAGCCTCCAAAGCCATAGAGAAACCCTGTCTCAAAAAAACAAACAAAACAAAACAAAACAAAAACAAAAAAAGTGTAGTCAGGATATTATTGAAGTAGATAAGGCTAGAAGGCGCTCACCTCAGTGACAATATCCTCTTTTTATATACTGGAAAGTCCAGTAGTATAGAGGAATTAGGAGACCAGAAAGGGGCAGAAGACAGAAGATCTGTGGTTTAAGTGGCCCTTGGTGCTGGAAATGATTGTCATTCATTCCAGCTAGAGCTAAGATGTCCACTTTAATAAATAAAAACACAAAGAGAAGCTTGAATCTCAAATATTTGAGTGTCTACCTATTAATACTAGGGACACTTTGTTTTTTCCTTTGTTTTTTTTGAGACAAGGTTTCTCTTTGTAGCCCTAGCTGTCCTGGAACACACTTTGTAGACCAGGTTGGCCTCGAACTCAAAGATATGCCTTCCTCTGCCTCCCAAGTGCTGGGATTAAAAGTGTGCATCACCCATAAAGCAAAAGATACCCAGCCTACAATCTATAACCCCAGAGAAGCTTGAACCCTCTTCCAGAAACAGATGGAAACAGATGCAGAAATCCACAACTAACCAATGGGCCAAGCTCCTAGAGTACAATCAAAGTGAGGGAGGAGTGATAATATGAACAAAGGAGTCAAGACCACGATGGGGAAACCCACGGAATCAGCTGACCTGAGCTAGTGAGAGATCATTAACTCAGGTCTGACAAATGGGGAACCTGCATAAGACCAAACTAGACTCCCTTAATATAGGGGAGAATGGTGTGACTGGAACAATATATGAGGCCACTGGCAGTGGGTCCAAGATCTAACACTAATGCACAAACTGACTTAGTGGAGCCCATTCTATATGGAGAGATACCTTGCTCAGCCTAGACACAGGGGTGTGGGGGTGGGGAGGTGCCTTGGTCCTGCCTCAAGGAGATGATGGGATAGACTTAGTACACTTCCTAGAAGGAGAGGAAGGAGGGAGAACTGGGATTGTAACATAAAAAATAAATTAATTTAAAAAAATCTTTAAATCTAAAAAAAAAAAGGATTGGTCACCACCACCTGGCCAGGGTCACTTTTTTTTAAATACAATCACTTTATTACAATAAATCCACAAATATCAACATCATACCTCTAGATTAAGGCATAGACACTAGCATGTGCTGGCCAAGAGCCACTGATGTTGAGATTCATGTCCTGTTATCCAGTGTGGTCTGCCTCGTAACCTCCTGGAGGGAAGGGACCTGCAGAAACTTCATGTGACCTGTCACCTGCACTATGGAAAGTATTCTAAGTACAGAAGACTGTGGGCCCAGAAATGGCAGTGATCGTTAGAGCCACAAAAGCCAACCTTTAGCATTCAGTCCACGGGGTTCAAAATCAGACTTCCATCCAAGCTGGGGACTATTGTTTTACTGTGAAATGTAAGGTTTTGTTCATAGTGTGACTTACAAAATGGAGCTCAGGAGGTTCTTTCTGCTTCCACCTTTGAAGGAAGTGGCATGTTCACAAGTCCCAGGGAGTTCCTGTCATTCCAGAGAGCCTGATAGAAGGTGGTCTGTTGTCAGCACAGGGACCAGTTTAGTTTGGTCTTGGAGGTGTGGTGTTTTGAGTGAGGATGCCCCCCCATACACTCATATGTTTGCACACTTACTCTCCAGTTCCTTTTGGGAAAGATTCGGAGGTGTGATCTGGTTGGGGGAGACATGTCACCAGTCCCTCCCTCCCTCCCCCCTCCTTCCCTCCCTCCCTCTCTCCCTCCCTCTCTTTCTCTCTCTCTCTCTCTCTCTCTCACACACACACACACACACACACACACACACACACATTGTCTCCTACCTGTGCATCAAGTTGGAAGGCTCTCAGCTAGTAACTGCCCCAGCAACATGCTGCCTTCCTGCCACTACGCTCCCTGCCAGGATAATAACAGACTAACCCTGAAACTGTAAGCCAGTCCCCGGTTAAACACTTTCTTTTGGAAGAGTCACCTTGATCATGGTGTCTCTTCATAGCAATAGGACGGTGACTATGCCAAGGTGTCTGTGTTTTTGCCTCCCCTGCTTTGCTTTACTTTGTTTTAAGACAGGCTCTCACAGCTCAGGCTGGTCTGGAGTTCGCTATGTAGCTCAGGCTGTCCTTGAACCCATGATGCTTTTGTTTCTGTCTCCCTAGTGCTGGGGTTACCGGCATGTACCATGCATCTGGCCTCACAGATGTATGCTATTCTCTTCTCCCTTTAGATTCACACTGTTTTGGTTTGTCTTCTTGATAGTTCCAGGAGCCATGGAGAAAAAAAATTAAAGGAAACTTGCCTCACCCCTCCCTCATACATGAATCATAGTGCAGGTTAACATTGGAATCCCTCCTGGCTGGGATGTGCAGCCTCCCATGTGCAGAGACTGACAGCTAAGTCCAAATATCACTCATGTCAGAGCCACTGTCAGACCCCGCTTCTCACATGGACCACTCGCCGTCAGCCCTCGCCACTGTCCTTATTTCTGTGTCTGTGTCTCTGTGAAGCACTCTCTACAGCCCAGCTTCTCTAAGTGGGCACAACCCCACAGTGACTATGTAAATACGGACGCTGTGAACATTTTGGCAATAGTAAATGTTTCTGACCACCAGCAATTAATTCAAAACCAAATCCGATGAATCACAGGTGTTCCCAGCAGCCCATGCCTCTGTGGCACCTCAAAACTTCTCAGCAGCCTCTGTCCTGAGCACACAGCATGAGCACTTTGCAACATGCAACATGGATGCCATCATGCCATCACACAACATATCAGCCCAAAACACCTCAGCCCAGATTCTAGACTATTGTATATTATGAATTCTATGGTACATATGAGTCTATCTGGTTTTATAAACACATGATGGTTTAACTACAGAAAATAAAGACGTCAGACGTTTTCCTCTGCCACACCTCAGCACATAAACATAAAATTAGCATACCTTGGATTGTGCTGTGTTAGAATATTTGGTTTGTAAAATGACTATTGGAGTTTCTGGCTTGTGTTTCATAAATTCTGTAAATGAATCTTGGCTTGAGGCTAGGACAAAATTTCCAAAAATGTCATAAATGGCCCTAAACACATGTCTGCCATTTTGAACTCCAATGCTTTTGCAAGACATTGCCAACTATAAAATGAAAATGTTGAAGATGTGCTACTCCCTCTACATCAAATATTCAGTCCAGATTTAATTCTTCATGTCAAAATAAAACAAGCACGCCCATCTCATCACTATGTAAATTTACTATGTCTTTACCAAATTGTAAAAGTATGTCTACCAAAGAATTCTTTCAAAATAAATTTCAGTATGAGATGTCCATAAATGCTTGTTTTGTATACCTACTTATACATCTTTGTGCCAGGGAGGGCATAAAAATGTCTTGATCGAAAAGGGGCTGTGAGTGGAAAATGTTTGAGTGACCTTGGTAGGATGTAAACGCAGTCACTCAGTGTTTAAAACACAGGGCAACTGTCAGATGCGATGTCACACACCTGCGACTCCAGCCCCGAGGGAGGGAGGCGATGGGGAGGAAAGTGGGCGGGAGGGAGGCGATGGAGGAGATGAGAACAGGGCAAACCCAAGACCAGCCTCGGGAGACCATGCTGCAAAAGGCGGGGAGCATAAGCATAGGGAGCTAGCCATTTGTGTTCAGGGTGCCTGTTGCGGTCTAGATGATGAGAAGAGGTCTGCGCATGCATGAGCGAAACGTGGGTGTTCCAAGGAGGTTGAAGATTCAGCCAATGAATCATCATGGGACTGTGCCAGGCTCTGAGGACCAGCCCCCAGGGCACGCTGGGAGCTTGCTGGCCCTAGAGAAGGCTTCTTTCTCCCGGATGATCAGTCTTGAGATGAAACTTCTGCCAGGAACAGACCCTGAAGTGAAATGGGAACCAACATGGAGATTATATATACCTTACCATCTCTTCCCATTCAATAGCCCCTAACTGCAGCTTCCCCCAGAAGTAACCAAATAAAACAGGTTTTGTATTTGAAATGTTGAGGTTTTGGGAAAACCAGCTTCCATGGGAATTTCTCCCTGTGTTCTGCTAAAGTAACCTGGCCAGTTTCTCAGTTCTGTATGCTTGAGCTGTGGGGTGGGCAGTTCATAAGGCCTGTATAACCTAACCACACCACCGCATGACCCCCGCGCAGCCTCGGTGCTGAAAGGCATTCTATCCCGAAAAGGCCACGAGCAAAGTACAGCCAGCAGCTGTTCTAACCCAATTTCTAAAGTATGTGCCGGGCAGGACTTCAAGTGAATTCCTGGGTATGCGTGGGCGCAATATGTTGCAACTTGTTGCAGCAGAAGAAGCATACATATATACCTTTTCTATAGAAATCTCTGGCAATGCTTAAGATGTATGCAAATGGCTTGAAGATAAGAGAAGCCATACGCTTTCTTTTTATGCCCTAATTCTAAAAATATGATTAAAATTCAGGCTGTTATCAGTGCTGGAGAGATGGTTCATCGGTTAAGAGTACTTACTGTTCTTCCAAAGGTCCTGGATTCAGTGCCCAGCATTGTGTCACGTGGTTCACAACCATCTGTAACTCCAGCTGCAGGCAATACAACACCCTCTTCTGGCCTCTCTGTGTGCCTGCATGCCCATGATGCACATACAGAGAAGTAAGCACACACACACACACACACACACACTAAAAACTTCACGACACCAGGCCAGGTGTTAGTGGCACACACCTTGAATCCCAGCACTTGGGAGGCAGAGGCAGGTGGAACTCTGTGAGTTCGAGGCCAGCCTGGTCTACAGAGTGAGTTGCAGGACAGGCTCCAAAGCCACACAGAGAAACCCTGTCTCAAAAAACAAGAAAAAGAAAAAGAAAACAAAAAGCATTCAGGACACCGCAGACACAGAAGACAACATATTTTAAGAAAATGAATATTTCAACTACCCTTTCTGTCGACACCATACAAAACTATCAGTTTGCTCTGGCACACACCAAGTGGAGCTAGGTTGCTTTTTCAGTTAGTAAAGTACTGTAGAGTTGGAAATTACTGCCAAGTCCTGGAGGCTGGTAGGGAAATTTCTTAAAATCTTGTTTGTTTAACAGACAAGAAAGAGACCATACTTTTCTTTGTCAGGGCAGGGAGCCATCCTGTTCTATTTTGACTCAGTTATGAACTGGAAAAATCATGAAAATGAGTGGAAAATATACATGATTAATTAATTTCTTACAAATGTGACTTTTCTTTTTCAGTTTTTAACGAGTTTTTCACCTGTTATGAGTGTTTGGCCCGCATGTATGCCTGTGCACCACGTGCATGCAGTGCCTGCAGAGGCCAGAAGAGGGCGTCAGATCCCCAAGAACTGGAGTTATTAATTTTGATGTGTGCTGTTTTAATTCCTTCCTTCCTTCCTTCATTCTTTTCTTTCTCTAATAAAATGTCTGTTTTTTAAAACGGAGTTGCAGACAGCTGTGAGCCACCACGTGGGTGCCAGAACCAAACCCGAGTTCTCTACATGGGCAGCAAGTTACTCTTAACTGCTGAGCCATCTCTCCAACTCCCAAATGTGATTTTCCTTACCTGACACATCTTCCACAAATTAGGCCAATGCTGATGTGTCTTAGATTAGCAGACCCAGGTCAATGTCTGACTGCCGAAGAGGAAACCAGCCTGCTTTGAGCCCCAGTTAGAAGGGTAGATTATGACCTGTCCCACAAAGCAGCTAACATTCTGAGGATGCGCATAGCCCTTAACAGTCTGCAGAAATTTAAAGAAGATTCCCCAGCCTTGGCTGACCGCGAGGCTCCCCAGCCCTGGTCGAAGCAGCGTGAATGGTGTAGACATTCACGTACACACACAGTCCTAAGCCACAGCAGTCCCGGCTCTGTGACCTGGGGAAGAGTGTCCTTTCTCTTTCCTTCTCTGTAAACGAGTCCATGTCACAGCAGTGCCAGGTTCATGTGCCAGAAGCTTGGTCTCTGAATTAGCAGGAGTGAGAGGTCGTGGAACCTAGGTCATGGAGACACCACTTTGAGCCTGGCTCTGCAAACGGGGCTGGGTCTTGCAACAAGTTTGACTCTGGAAAAGCAAGCTGCTGTAAGTGGAACCATTCTGTACATTTGGCATCTTAACTTGAGCTGTTAGCATTTCTATGCCATCTTCTTCTCTTATTTGATGTGGTCCGACACTGTGGCACAGCCTGAGGCCCCTTGCAGAATGCAGTCACCTTCAGATCTCTACGCCAAAATAAACCTTCTTATTTCTATTCTTTTGCAAAGCACACAGACCCAGGTGTTTTGTTAGAGCAAATGAATAAAGATAGGGTGGTGTGTTTGTTTTAAAGATTGGGGAACAGATATATCTATGCATCTGAAGTCTCTGATCATTCTTCTGACTACCAGTTTAAGATTTCCTAGTATGAAAACCATGCAACACCTCCTCTGTTGCTATGAAAACACCCTGACCAAGGCGACTTCTTTCAGCTCCCAGGTTCCAGATCATTACTGAAGGAAGCCCGGGAAGGCCTGGCAGCAACCCCAGGCAGCGTCCACTCTAACCAGAGAACTCACAGCCCAGGGAGCACAGCAGAAACCATGGAGGAGCACCGCTTGACGGCTCGCTGGCCAGCCTGAGCTTAGCTCACTTTCTTACCCAGCCCAATAAGAATAGCCTCCCAGCCCGCCCAAGCCAATCTGCACACGAGTGCATTGCCTTTTAGTGAATTCATTCATCTGACAGATCCATGAGCTGCCTTCCTCCATATCCAGACAACCCCAGCCTCTCGGGTGTCTGTGAAAAATAGTTTAACAATGTGTCATCTGTGATCAGAAATATGTAGTGAAGTACTCAGATAATCATATGGTGACAAGCTGAAAAGAGTGCTTTTCCTCATCTAGACGGGAGGACTCAGGGGCTGCTAGATGGGAGGACTCAGGTGCCATGAGCAGTACCTTTCATAGGCACCTTCTATCGGACTGCCTACAGGACCTGAGGGTCAGTGGTTAGAAGAAAGCACAGCCTTTACTTCAGCCCCAAGGCCTTGCCCAGTTCCCACAGCACTTACAGGTCAATGCTCTCTAGTGGAGGAGGCTGGTTGCTCAGTGATCAGAGCACTGGTTGCTCTTGCAGAGACCCTGGTTCAGTTCCCAGAAACCACATGGTGGCTCACAACCATCTGTAACTCCAGCTCTAGGGGATCTGACCCCCTCTCTGGCCTCTGAGGGAACTGTATAAATATACTGTGCACACATACACCATGCAGGCAAGCATTCAAAATGAAATACAATTTAAAAAAAATTAAGAACACCAAAAAACTCTTGAAATGAATTCTAACAATCTACTTCTTTTGGTATGTGCAAGTAATTCTTTTCTATTTCTTTTTTTCATCTTTTTTATTTAACAATCTACTTTGAAAAAACAATACATTCACAAAACTACTATTTCAATAGATTATGGGTGCAAAAACATGATGTGGCATTACACACTTTTCCCATGCTGTTTTCTAAATCCAGGGTGCATTTTTACACTTACACATCTCTCCTGGAAGAAACTAAGTGGGCGGTTGTCGTGTTGTAGTGCAGTGCTGGAGCGGAGCTCTCGTGAGATCCAGGTATCCTGCAGGTCTCCACACTAAGAAACCCGAGATTCCTCACAGGACTCAGACTTGCCTGGGCTCTGTCCCCAACCTACCAAATCCCATCTCTGGAGTGGCACTAAAATTTGCATTTTTAAACCACTTAATATAGCTGATGTTGTGCTTGCTATATCTGAAACCATCTGTTACTGTTTGAATGTGACGTGTCCCATAGGCTCATGTGTCCGCACACTTGATCTCCAGCTGGTGGCAGGGTTTTTGAAGACTGTGGAAAATGTAGGACGAACCAAACCAAATGGAAGTAGGGATAGACTATGCTTGAGATTTCACAGTGGGCGTGCTCTCTCTCTCTCTCTCTCTCTCTCTCTCTCTCTCTCTCTCTCTCTCTCTCTCTCTCCCTCTCTCTCTCCCTCTCTCCCTCTCTCTCTCTCCTTCCCTACCAAAAAAAGAGATCTCCCATGATCACAGATTCACAGAATTAATATGGAGAAAGTGGCTATATTACCAAAATCAATTTATAGCACTAGTGTAGTCCCTATCAAAATCCCAACAGGACTCTTCAAAGGAAAAGGGTAGGGGGAATCCCAAAAATGAAACAAAAGCACAGGAGACCCTGAATGGCCAAAGCCATTCTGAACAAAGGGAGTAATGCTAGTGATGTCATGATACTTGATCCCAAATTATATTACAGACCCATGATGACAAAAACATGGAGCTACACACACACACACACACACACACACACACACACACACCAACGACGACATGTAGGCCAATGGGACAGAATAGAGGAATAGAATGACCACAGCTAAAAACCTTAATCTTTGACAAAGATGTAAAATTTGCATTGGAAGAAAGAACCTCTTCAACAAATGGTGCCGGGAGATACACAAAATAATGAAACTAAGACCCCCTAAAATCAAAACAAACTCAAAATGAAACAGAGATCCTAATGTAAGGCTTGAGTCTTTGAAAATGGTATGAAAAAAATATGGAAATCACTAAAGACTCAGACATAGACAAGGAGCTTCTGAAAAGAATTCTAATAGTACAGGAAATAATAGCAAGAATTGACAGATGGGACCTCTTGCAATTAAAAAAGCTCCTTCGTGGGGTGTGTAAGATAGCCAGTGAGTTTTGTCCAAGCCCAAGGTCCTCTAAGCTCAGTCTTCAGAACCCGCATAAAAGTAGGAAGGGAGAACCAACTCCACAGGTTGTTCTCTGTCCTCCACAGGTGTGCCAGAGCACATGCACTCCTCACACACACACTCACTCATACACGCCCACTCACTCACACACACGCCCACTCACTCAAACACACACGCCCACTCACTCACACACACGCCCACTCACTCACACACACGCCCACTCACACACACTCACAGTAATAACAAGAAATTAAGACTCACAGCCTATAGAGCAGGAGAAAAAAATCTCTGCTACATATACATATATATAGGATATGAATATCTGGAGCTTATAATGAAATCAAAAATTAAACACTAATAAACCAATTAGTAAATGGGCTGCTCCAAATCAGAATAGACCATTCTGGAAGGACTAAAAACAAGTGGCCAGTAAATAACTGAAACTCTGTTCAATATCCTCGGTCATTGGGAAATACAAATTAAAACAGCTTGGAAGTCAGGTGTGGTGGTCCACACCTTTAAAAACAAACCAGCAAAACTGCTTTGAACCCTGCTCACCCTCAGCAGAATGTCTATCACTGAGAAAAAAAAAGGACAAATGCTGGCAAGGATTTAGAGAAAAGAGAAGCCTTTGTTTTGTCTGGCGGGCATATAAACTAGACAGCCCACTGTGGAAACCACTACGGAGGTTTCCTAAAACTAGAATATGGAGCCGGGCGGTGGTGGCGCACGCCTTTAATCTCAGCACTCAGAAGGCAGAGGCAGGAGGATCTCTGGGAGTTCAAGGCCAGCCTGGTCTACAGAGCAAGTTCCAGGACAACCTCCAAAGCCATAGAGAAACCCTGTCTCAGAAAAAAAAAAATAGTAATGTGGTCAGCTACACCACTCCTGTGTCCATTCCCAAAGGACCCTAAGTCATCAGGCCACAGAATACTTGCACATTCATGGGATATTCATGATAGCTGAGACACACAGCCAGCTGCCCATCAACAGATGAGTGAATAGAGAAAATGAGGTCATACACAATGGAATTGTATGAAGGTTTAAACAGATGAAGCTGTCATATTTGCAGAAATAAGGATTCAACTGGAGCAAAACAAGCCAACTCAAAAAGACAAATGGCATGTGTTTTCTCTGATACACAGTGTGTGTGTGTGTGTGTGTGTGTGTGTGTGTGTGTGTGTGTGTGTGTGTGTAGATGGACTTGTCTTTGTGCAGCCAGCTCACAGTTAATGACACGGAGACATTGTTAACTATGAAAGTTCAGCCAATAGCTTAGGCTTGTTCCTAACTAGCTCTTAGGACTTAGATTAACTCGTTTCTATTCATTTATTTTCTGCCCTATGGCTTTATTACCTCGTCTCCATAGTGCCCATCCTGCTTGCTCTGCATCTTCTGCCATCTCTGCCTCCTCTTCTTCCCAGTGTCCTCTCTGCCCCCCCAAATCCTGCCTAGCTGTTAGCTGTTCAGCTTTTTATTAAACCAACCAGAGCGACACATCTTCACAGTGTACAAAAAGATTATTCCACACGTGTGTGTGAGAGAGAAACATGAAAGTAGAGCTTATGAGAGGATGGAAGCTCTAAAGGGAGGACAAACAGTAACCAAGAAGGGACAATGGGACAAAGGTGACATGAAATCAGAAGGGAGACTTTTTTCAGGAGGAAGGAAGCTAGAAAGAAGGGCAAAGAAATGGCAGTGGATCAAAGTGTGGAATTAAAAGGAAAGTGTGTATGTGAAAATCGCACAAAGAAACCATTTCTATGTGTGCTAACTGTGATAACTAGCCTTGGTTGCCAATCTGAAATTAGCCAAGACACTGGGCATTCCTGTGAGGCTTTTCTTCATTGGATCATTTGAGGTGGGCAGACCCACCCTAAATCTGGGCCACGCCTTCTATTGGCAGCCCACACACAAGGACAGGGGAGAAGGACGCTTTTGCCTGCTTGCCATCACTCTTGCTGGTAAACTCTTCTATCCCATTGCTGTGGCGTCCCTTTGCTGGTAAACTCTTCTATCCCATTGCTGTGGTGTCCCTTTGCTGGTAAACTCATCTATCCCATAGCTGTGGCGTGCCTTGCTGGTAAACTCATCTATCCCATTGCTGTGACGTGCCTTTGCTGGTGTTAAGATCAACTTGTTCAGGAGTCCAGTGTAGACTGAAGACCAGCAGCTATTTAGGCATCCTCCAGGCCTTCAGCACCAGATGGGACTGCAGAGATGTCTGCCCTTGTAGACCCATGGCTACAGATTCTAATGTGAGACGGCCACTTGGACAGAATCCTATAAGCCCATTTAATAAATCTCATTATATATATATATATACTCATTCTATTCTATCAGTGTTGCTCATTTACAAGAACTCTGACTAGCGAGTGACTCATGAATTCAACCGTTCATTTATTCATTTGTTCAGCCGGCATTTGGTGGCACTTATGACAGACCTGATGTTATCTTCAACTCTTACAGCGCATTCTAAACTGCACGCCATAGTAAATGTTGGGCATGACGGTAGTGACCTAAGACACCAGCCTAATAGAAATTCCGGGCGGGGGAAGATACTTGGTTAATAAAAGACTCTGAATGACATCAGTGTCCATAATATGGATATTGTGATTTTAATTATCATCGTGTAGGTTGAAGAAACACTCATAGTTAGTTCAGAAATACCGCCCCCAAACTGAGCCATCAGTCAAAATTTTGTCAATGCCCTTTATTTTAGGAAAACACATGTCTGGTCACAAGACACCTTCAGAGAGCAGGATAAGCCAGGAGAAGGGCAGGATGGAGCTAGACAGTAAATCCCAGGCCACTGCCATGTTCAAGGGGCGGAGCTGACACGAAATTATTTTCTTCCCGGAAAAGCAAGGTTAACTGATGCTGTGGAGCCCAGAGGGCCAGCAGATTTACAGCATCTACAGCTGAGGAGGAGCAGAGCCCTTCAGAGGGTTGAGTTATAATGCCTCTCTATTGATCAGTGATCGCCCCACTCAGTACCCAGCCGTCAGGGGATGAGAAGCAGAGGGGAAATGGTGGTGGTTACAGTTCTTATGTAGTTCTCAAAGTCGCTTCCGAAGAAGACGATGAGGTAATGGTTGAGTACCCCAGCAAGGGACATGAAAAACAGAAATGAGATGATCCGCTTGCCGAATATGTAGCCGGGGGTACTGCAGAAGAGGAGGAAAGGGTGTTAGACATGATGCAAATGGCACCCGTTTCACCCCAAAACACTGCCGCTTCCAGACACACAGGGTTTAAATTATAACTCATTTACTCAGTAATGCCTTTCTTCATAACGATCGTGGACTGGGCCTGCCTTTGCTATTAACCATTGAGCATGTTTCAAAGTCAGGCGAAGGAGCCTGCCTTCGGAGCCTATCACTGTTGGGGGTCGGTAGCATGGCATCCCTGAGTTCTCTTAGTGTCCTTAACTCCAGATCCTTGATGACAGGATGCCGGCAGGTCCTGACAGTGGTCAGACAACCTGACTGAGGCTTGGGAGCACCATGGACTCATCAAGCGACTTTGCAGGGTGGTCCCTGTCAGGTGTGCCTATAAGGCCCATGCTAGAGGCTGGGTGTAATGGAGACCGTGTTAGGGGACATGCTTCAATCTACTCTCCTGAGGCTGCTGGGGAAGAAATGAGGTTTGCACTGTGAGAGATAAGCACCCAATGATGGAAAAGGCTTTTACAATCCGGAGAAGAGAAAGAAATATTTTACTCCTCTCTCTTCCTTCACCCCCCTTGCCCCATCCCCTCCTAGCCTCTCTTCTGCTTCCTAAATGTCTTTGGCAGAGAATCAACCAAGGATAGGAGGCAATTCCTCATGAGAAGTGACTGTGTAATGGTGTGCAAAGGTCACCCATGTCCTCTGTCCCTCTACAAGAACCAGGCTTGCTGGCCTGTACCCATCTGCATGGAGCTGACATATCTGGAAAGGCCAGTGAAACCATTTGTTAAGATTGTCAGTAAGGAACCAGTCGAGGGCGTGGGACAATCAGCTCTAATGGCAGAACAGGGCCAACTCAGCAGTACAGGTGCACTCCTGCTGCTACAGGCTGCTTCAAGTCAGGGGAGCCAACGCCAGCATCTGCGGGTCCAGAAACTTTATCTCATTGAAAGGAACCCCCAAGACCTTCAACTCTCACAGCAAGTGTTGCTCAGCA